TCTCATAGTTGTTTTGATTTGCATCTCTCTTAGAGCTAGGGATCTTGAACATTTCTTCATGTGCTTGTTAGCCATCTGAATGTCTTCTTTGGTGAAGTGCCCTCATCTGTTTCAATGCAGTATATATTATTTATTCCATCTTCCTCAGTCTCCCCCCAACCCTGATGTCAGTCCTGTTTTACAACAGTGGCACTATGCAGTAATTGTCCTTTTGTGACACCAGAGCAGGGTGGATGTGAGATTTCAGTGTCTTTGTCTTAGCAGCTGGGTGGTGAAAGTGGTGAAAACGCTTCTACTGAAGATGGGCTGCTCCTATGAGGCCACCTTCTTGGAGGATCAGGGCGGCTGGGAGTTCCTGGGGCAGGCTGAGAACCACCACCGAGGAGTGTCGCTGCTGGCAAGGTAAGCTGAGCACTGTCTCAGGTCAGGGTGGGATCTGGACTGAGAGACCTCAAGTCTTCAGCAGACTTGAATGCACACCGTTCTTGGGCAAGTTCCTCTGCTCAGTCTATCACTTCTTTGCCTCTTCTCAGCACCAGGAAGAATAGGGTCTACCTTAGAAGGGGGTTTCCTTAACAGCTATGAAAGACAGCCTGAAAGATGGCCCAAACAGATATATATACAAGCAGATACAAATTCTGTTTATCATTGTTTGTCATTCTGCTTTTCAAAACAACAGAGCACTTTGATTATTTAAAATAATGGTTTCTCACCATATTATTAATTTAACCTACATACATTTACAGAATTGGCCATACACCCAGGCAGGTAAGAAGGCAGGTTTTAGGTAGGTCAACCTGTGTCCGAACCCGAGCTCCCAGCTTGTCAGCTGAAGCTATTTACTTACTCACCAGCCTTCCCTCTCATGTCTTAGTTTTCTCATTAGTAACATGGAAACAATAGGACTCATCTCAGTGGTTTGAAGTGAGGATTAACTACATTATGCATAGAGTACTGTGAGTAGCCCTTAGCTATTCAAAGAGCTCAACACATATTAAGCTTTTATTATTATGATCATGTTCATGCTGGGACAGGGATTATTAATGCACATTTTGCAGAGGAGTATGTTAGGATCCAGAGACTGACTGTCCTGTATGCACGGTCACATAGCCGACAAGAAGTAGAACTGAGAAACAACCTATTGACCCCAGCCACTGAATGGAACCAGCCTTCACCATGCGTGCCCAGGATAATGCTCTGCTTGAAAGTCTCAGGATGTTTATTGGGTGCTGTTAAGATGGTTCTGACTCACAGTGGTGACCTTATACACCAGTGTATCTGAGGCTTCAACAATGTTTACTGAGCACTTACTACGCTCTAACAGGAAGTCAGCAGCTTTTCCTCAGCTCCACAGGAGATAGATTGGCAGTCTCTTCCTCTAAAGATTTACAGCCTGGGAAACCTGGCAAAGGGTCATCATGAGTCAGAATGAACTCTGTGGCAGGAGGTAGGCACTATGCAAAGAGCTATACATGAATTCCTGTGGAATCCTCACCATAGCCGACGAAATAGCACTGTTATTATCCTAGTGTTACTCATGAAGAAGTCAAGTGACTTGCTCAAAGTCACTCAGCTAGTTCCAGGGCAGAATTTGAACCCCGACTATCTTATTTCAGATTCTGTGCCTGACCACAAAGCTCTGCTCACTACCCTGCTTAATGCAGTGTGGCACAGTGGTCCTCGGCTGGAATGGTCACCAGCCTCACCAGGGCCTGCAGAAGCACCGATTGCTCACCCTGCCCCCAGATTTTGATTCAGCAGGGCTGAAGAAGGACTGAGAATGCGAATTTCTAACACCTTCCCAGGCCATGCTGAAGCTGCTGGCCACAGGATTCCTAGCTGAGGACCACCAGCTGAGTAGAATGCTTGAGGAAGCAGGAGTGGGGAGCCCTCCTGGGGTGAGGGTCAAAGCTTTGCCTTGTTCTAGCTTCACAGTCTTGGGCAGTTACTTTCTGAGCCTGTCTCTTTACCTAGGAAACAGGAACAGTACTTACTCTTCCTGTCTTGAAGAGCTGATAGTGGAGATTCAATGAAGTAACAATATAGAAGCCCCTGGCTGGGGCCTAGCACTAGGGAGTCAGTGCTCTCATGCTGTCCTTCTGTCTTCCTGTGTGCAGTTGAGAGCCTCTTTCTGTTCTCTTACTGATTTGTCCTGTGCCCTCAGTAAACTTGCTTCTCCCTCTCTGGACCTCAATTTTCCTCATCCGTAAAACAAAGTAGTTTAACTACATGGCCTCTGAGATCCAATCCAGGGGGTCATCCTGGCGATGAAGGTACCCCACAGGGTCCCCAGCAGGTTCCTCGGAGCCCTGAGAGCCTGAGGGGCCTGCTGCTGCCTCCCACCCCCAGGGCCATGGTGCACTACTCCTGCCAGGAGCTGTCCCGCATCCTCTACCTGCTCATCCCGCTGCTGGAGCGAGGCGACGAGAAGCACAAGATCACCGCCACTGCCTTCTTCGTGGAGGTACGGACCAGGCCCCAGCATGGGCCGGTGGGGGGGGGGGGTTGCTCCTGGGACCTTTCTGGAGTATGGATCTCAGCTCCACTACTGGGCCTTCCTCCCCTGAGAATAGTGCTCCCTAGATTACAAAGCCTTCCCACTAGCATGATTTCTCTAAGAAGGCCTTGTAGTCCCTCCTTTTCTTTCCTCTCTGTCTCTTTCTCCACCTCATTCCACTCTTCCCAGAAACTCTAATCTCCCAGACTTCAGCTGGGCCACCAGAGAAACAAATATGACTCCATCTTATCCCCATGGAATTCTCAATGTGGCAAAGAGAGGGGACAGCCCAGTCACAACCTGAAGTGTTATAAAGTGATAGTGGGGAAGGTCTAGGCTGCAGTTGTTGTTGTTATGTGCCATTGAGTCACCTGTGAACCATAGTGACCCTATGTACAGCAGCTCTGAAGCCTGCCCTGTTCTGAGCCAGGCTCACTGATTCCGACACACCAAACCCCATTGCCCCAGTTACTGTATCAAACCATCTCATCAGGGATCTTCCTCTCCTGCCCTGTCCCTCCACCCTTCTGAGCATGAGCATAATGTCCTTCTCCAAGGATCGGTTTCTCCTTATCATGTGCCCAAAGTATGTGAGATGGATGGTGTCATAACATCCAAGTTGAGAGAGAGAGAGAGAGAGAGAGAGAGAGAGAGA